CTGGTACCGAAAGCCATACGGCCTGTCGCTATTCAAGCCGTGACGTTCGGGGTAGTTGTAAGGGTCGGTCTCGTGGTTAGCGAATGAAAAGCTAATTTGGGTTTTATGGTTCTTTTATTTGTTATTTGTTGAACAAAATATTTTGCTTAGTTTGTATTGCTTTCTCTGTAGCTTATCTCAAAGTCTTTCCGTAGTGTATTTATAATCGCCTGGTGTTTATATTATACAGAATTTTACAAAAATGATCAAGTAATATTGAGACTACTTTTTCAAGTACTTGACGTAAAAACTACTTGATTGATTTACATTGCTTATATCTAATACTTGACTTGAGCTTGACTTCATTTAAAAAGACGGGTTTACACGGGTCAAGTAATCGGTCAAGCTACTTGCCTTCGCACTTGCGTGGTTGCATTCTACTTTACTTGATTCACCACATCATCCAGAAAGAGCGTTTACACGTATTCCAGTAGATGAGCAAGTCGACAGGTAAAACATGGTGGAAAGTCGTATTGTCATACGAAATTGCGTTATTAATCTCACAAATATTCTCCTGGAAGAAGTGGAAGAAATTCTTGAGGAAGAAAGAAATCCTAAAAAAAGGATATGGTGTCGAGAATGGCTTACACGTAGAGAAAGTCAAGGGGCTTCCACCAATTTAATAAGGGAGCTGAGGTTTGAAGATCCTAAAGAATACAGAATGATGCTCAGAATGACTGCTGAAAAATTTGACTATTTGTTAGGCTTAATAACTCCATTAATCCAACGAGAGAACACTATTATGAGAGACGCTATCAAACCAGAAACAATGTTGGAAGTAACCTTAAATTACCTAGCAACTGGTAATAATTATAGAACCCTTTCTCATCTCTTCCGAGTTTCTAAATCAGCGATATCTATCATGATTCCCATTGTTTGTCAAGCTGTGTACGACTGCTTAAAGGATTTCGTAAAGGTATGTGAATAGATAATAATAGAACATTTTTAAATTTTTATTTTTTTAAATTTTCATTTAGGCTTCTTAATAAAAAACAAACAAATCCAATTGTAACATTTTAGTTTGTCAAGTTTCATGCTTGCGAGATAATATCTGCGATAGCAGCATCATCATTTGCAACTGTGTCCTCGTTCATAATTGGATGATCAGTGCTGTATGCAGGAGTAGTTGCAGGAGGTGAATCCCAAGAAAGGGTTGGTGATTGAATTGCAGTTAATGCGGAAGCCTCAGAAGCAGAACTGCTCTTATTTAACGCATTCAATCGATATTTTTGTATCACTCTTTGAAGTGCACCTTGCGCCATGATTGAATCAGCAGGGGGCAGTTTATCTAAACTGGCTGCAATAAACTTGCCAAAAGCTTCATTGTCACTGATGGATTGAGAAGTTATTAATGTTTCCTGGGCTTTTCGGACCTCTGCAACAGCTTCAGTTAAGGCTTGTAGCCGTGGTTTTTTATTTTTTGATCCTGCTTCTACTCGAGAACCTTTCTTACCGGTCGATTCTACTCGGGAGCATGTTTTGCTGGTCGAAGGTCTTGTAGGAGTTTGCAAGAGAGTTGGAGATGGTACTTCAATGACTTGTTCCTCTAGCAGACCTTGTTCATTTTCGCTAGGTGGAGCGATTTCTGTCTCCTGAAATGAATGAAATACTAATTTAATACTTCTCATTTGCTCAATGATTAATTAATCATACAAATTATATGCTCATAATGTTCATTTTTTAGGTTCCTGATACACATGATGCATGGAAGAAAGTTGCGAATGGGTTTGAAGTAAGATGGAATTTTCCTTTCTGTTGTGGTGCCATTGATGGCAAACATGTCTTGATCGAGGCTCCCCCACATACTGAAAGTGAATACTTCAACTATAAAGGTTCCTTCAGCGTGGTACTAATGGCAATTGTAGGTCACAATTACTGTTTTTCTTATTTTAAAGTAGGGACAACGGGATCCAACTCAGATGGTGGTACTTTTCAAAACTGCGAAATCTTAGGAGCTCTAGAAGAAGGATTACTACCCGATGGTTACTTTTTAGTTGGTGATGATGCTTTTCCACTAAAACCCTATCTACTTAAACCATATAGTAGATACCGACTACCTCTTACCGATGAAGAAAAGATTTTCAATTATCGGCTTAGTCGTGCCAGAAGAATAGTGGAAAATGGTTTTGGAATCTTAGTAAGTAGATTTCGTGTTTTTGAAACAAAAGTAAAGATAAAAGTGTCCTCTGTGAATAAACTAGTTAGTGCTGCCATTGCAATTCACAACTGGCTACGAAAAACGTCACCAGATCAATACTTCAATAATGCACAATTGGTTGATTGTGAAAACCAACACACTGGCGAAATAATACCTGGACAGTGGAGACAAGAGATACGAGAACTGAGAAACATACTGGGGGGAACTGAGAGGAGGGCGTCGGAGATGGCAAAACACATGCGAAACAAAAAGAGGGATTATTTCATTTCGGAAGAAGGAGCAGTGCCTTGGCAACGCAATTTTATAAATTAATTACCAGTTATTAAAGAAAAAATATACACTTTTGACTTACTATGCTTTCCGTTTCATTTTCAGCTGTGGAGCTATCCATTATTTCTTCCATTTGTCGGAACCACTTGACAGTTGGAACGTATATATCATCCGGTTTACCTCCTGATTTCTTAGACTTTTTAACTTTCAGCGCTTCCTGATTATAAGTTGTTCTCATTATCTTTATTTTTTACTTTAATTCTGTCACTCCAAAACCTTCCTTTCCCATCCTGTTCACGATGTCCTCTTCAGCTGCTTTTCGCATGTTTTTATTGCGATAATTTACACTACTCTTCTTCCATAAACACTCTTTTTCACTATAGAGTTCAACGAAACGCATGGTTTCTTCTTCTGACCACTTCATCTTGTACAAATTAAACCTCAATTCACAATTCGTAGTATACCAAAATCACCAAAATTATTTGGTTATCTGTGATCAAAATGGATAGGAAATCTGAAAAACCCCAGACAGTACAAATCCACATTCCATGCGCAGGAACTTGTTTACTTAGTTGCTTTGTCTGTTTACATTGGTAAAGTAGACGGTCAAGTTGGCGATCCAATGATAAAGTAGAAGTGGGGGTAGCAGTCAAGTAAAGTTACTTGTTCAACGTGCCTAACCACTTGACTTGTCTCGTCACTTGACGCAAGTCGCTACTTTACTTGACCGAAATTGTTCATACAATGCAAGTAGAAAAAAATACTTGACTTTACTGCTCAACTTGACCGTTTACTTGACCCGTGTAAACCCGTCTTTAATGTCAAGTCAAGTAGCTTGAAAATAAAGTCAAGTAGTGAATCCCTAATTCAGCCAACTAATAAATCCAAGCCAACTTTTATCCTGTCGTTTGACATAGCGTAATGAATCTGATTAATAACTTTCACAGGTATTGCAACTACTCTGTAGTGTATTTACTCACGCAAGGTTTATATTTCTTTTAAAAGGAAAGATTTTTAATATTGTTTCCAGTGACGTTTGGCCTTGCTCGCTCTGATCCATAAACAGAAATTCCACATAGACATCTTTTGGCGGCTTTTACAGCTTTTGGACTTCTGTATGGTGCATTGTCCTAGCCCGTCACTGTCCTACGGCCCTATCAATCCTGCCGGGATCAAACGCAGCTGCTACGCCCTGCACCGTGGTGCTTGTTGGCTTGATGGCACTCCATACCGCACCGCCAGGGTTGATGCCAGGCCTTCTCTCTTCTCTAGCTGCTACCCTGCTTGCTCATTGTGTGCTTTAATTTTAGCACTCGATATTCATGACCCCGCTCTAAGCTCTAGTATAATAAAGATGGATTTGAGAGGCTGCCCTGCTAATACTCTTCATATTACAGCAACTGTTCTACTATAATCGGGGCTACATACGGTGATAACGGAAGCCTCGGCATACACTTGAATGAGTATATGTGAAAAACAGTATTATTGATTTAAAAAATTGAAATTAAAACCCGGTCCGATGACACTCAAGAATTTTTTCACTATGATACTCGGTATTCAGCGCTTCAAATTACCCTACTGTGCAAGTTTCGGCTCACATGTATCCATCTATAATAAAAATGGATTTTTAGCAACCTAATGTCGCAAAAACGCAGTTTTGCAATTTTTCTTGCGGTGATATCGGATTCGATATCAGAGACCCAAAATACGCACGATAGAGGTCATTCGAAGCGTATTTAAAGCATTTTAATTTTTAGTTACTTACCATGTGTTCAGAAATTGTAAAAATGGGTCAGTCGGGTCCTTAAGCCTAATCAGTCAATACGTTTTTTGGGTCGTAAATCGAATCCGGGGCCCATTCAGTCTGAATATGCATCATTTTCGAGATAATGGCAGGAATTCTACTTTGTCTGTGCTAGGATTTACGGATAGTCCCGGGTAACTAGTTCCTTACGAATCTTTCACCCCAAAGTCGGTCTGGTGACAATTTTTTTACTTTGATATTCATATTCTGCGCTCCAAATTACCTTACTGTACAAAATTCTGCTGACATGTAGCCACCGATAATAAGAATGTATTTTTATCACCTTAAAGTTGCAAAAAACGCATAGTTTTGCAATTTTCGCTAAATAATTACATCTTCATGATAAAAGGGATTAGATACATGTGAAATGGCATCGGATTCGATTTTAGAGACCCAAAATACATACGATAGAGGTCATTTGAACCGCATTTAAAGGATTTTGATTTCTAGTTACCATTATGTAATTGCTTCTATTTATATTCTTTTTTTATTTCGATTATATATTTAGATATATTCGTGTGTGATACGCCACTGGTGTGATATGTGTCGTGTTTGGGGTTCTGCTGAAAATTCATAGTTTCATAGCCAAATCGAACCAACGTAAGAAGTCACTTTTTTGCGACACGCTCTGTGAGAATACAAGGACTAGTAGCTCAGTTTTTTTTATTATTGTCATCATCATGAGTAAATGTCTGATGTGTCCTGACATGGGACCTATTCTGTTGAAGAATGCTGTTCAATGTAAATCTTGCTCTATACATATATTATCATAAGTCATGTGGTAACAGGGCAAAGTTGTTGCCTGATAGAAGTTATAATTACTGTTGTGGTACTGGTGATCAAGTTCATGATGAAGATTTTGCTGGACTAGATCCTGGATTTCAACTTATTTTGAAAAGGCTTGACCAAGTAGATGCGTCATTGAGTGCAATTAAGTCAGATATTCAATCCTCCAGCAACAAGCTAACAGAACTTGAAAAAAAGGTTGATACACTTGAAGAGATTGTTACTGGTGAGTCTTTATATGATGAAATGAAAGATAGGATGAATAGAGAGAAGAACTTTATCATATATAACTTTGATGACTCAGTGAACTGATTCTGTGAAAATAAAGAAATTGCTCGAGGATACAAAGTTTGTTATTCCATTTAACTTTGATGATCTTAAAGTTTTTCGACTTAGACGTGATTTTGTTGAAGGAAAGAATAGATTACTCAAAGTTGTTATGAAATCCTCTGATAATGTACACTGGATTTATCATCATAGTAGTGAAATTTTTAAAAATAACATTTTTGTCAGTACTGATGTTCTTACAAAAAAACAACAAGCTCACATGCAAAAACTTAAAAATGAAGTGAAGCATAGATCTGACAAGGCAGAAAAGGATTTAAAAATTAAACATATCAGAGAGAAACCAACGATTGTTAAATCTATTGTTGCTGATAATCAATGAAATGAAAATGATGAAGATACTGAATGACTATATGATAGTTACCATAATTTGAGGATTTTTTACCAAAATATTTGTAGTGTCAGAGGAAGGCTTGATGAGTTTTACTCCAGATTATGTCTTATTACTGAATATGACATTATAGTTTTGACTGAAACTTTGCTTGATGAAGACATTACTACTGCTGAATTACAACTCCAAGATTTTAATGTGTACAGATGTGACAGGTCTTTATTTACAAGTGTGAAGAAATCTGGTGGTGGTGTTTTGATTGCAGTCAAAAAATTTATTAAGTATTTAAATGTTATTTTAGTTAATAACTCTTATGAACAAGTTATTGTGCGTATACAAACGCATGCAAAGTCATTTTTCATTAGTGTGGTCTATATATCACCCCTTCTAGGAACAGGATTGATGTTTTATTTGCTTATAATTTATTTAATAACATTATTGATAATTTCAGTTTATTGTCAAAATTCAGATTTTATGTGCCTCCAAGAATGTTAAGACGTAATAATGTTTATTTTCATGTTATGCCACCTAAATCAGATCTGATAAATCATTCTCCTGTTTTTAGATTATCTAAACTATGTAATGAACACAGTAGTTGGCTTGATTTGTATAATTCGAGTAATTATATTGTTAGAAATTTATCAAAGTCTATGTTTACATTTGAGTAGTCTTTTGATTTTGTAATATTTGAATTTATGATTACTAGATTATTGCATTTCCTCATTTGAACATCTGTATTGGATGATTATGTTAATCTCAGTTGATTGCCTTATATACTATTATATGTTACTGTTACCACATATGTAGCGCCACTTACGCGACGTTTGCGGTGCATTTTTCTATTTATAATACACATGAATAAAGGGTTCGCCCGAAAGTTGAATAAATAAATAAATATTCTTTTTTATGGGTTCGTAGTTTGTCCGGTAAATGGCATGCATTTTTGTTCAGCAATAAAGCATTATTATTATTACTAACTTGTGCCGAATATAATGCTTCATGAATTGATGACTCTATTGCGTACGAAGTGCAAGGTCAACCTAATTGACGCCTTTTTTATTTCTGGATTCAATCATCATACTGGCAGAAACATTTTGACCATCCCCTGTATTCACTAGCTTGATTGACGAATAGAAGTTTCAGCTACCATAGGGCAGGGTGTGTATACCCCACAAAGCTGTCTAACCCGGCAGTTTTGTATTTGTCTTGAGTAGTTAATTGCTCTTTATTTTACACACAGCGGAGAGAGCGGTTGTTTAACAGTTGGTCAAATGGACGAGAATTATTGAATTTCTTATTTGTTATTCGGTAAAGTTGTTCTGGAGGCCCTTTCGCATACAGAACCGAGGGTTTAATGAATCCTCGAGAGGATAATCACGTCGGTTTGCATTTCGAGACGAAGTAGAAGGGGAAGAATGGAGAAACATGTGGTTGAGAACTAAAAATCTTTGCTTTTTTGTACGGTTTTCGTAGTCAGGTGCAAAATTGTTTTTCCTACATAAAAGAATATAAAAATAAGATGGGAGTGTCAACGCGAAAGCAAAAATGTTTCAAAATTGCTAGTTTTCCTAGAAGTTAGTGAACAAAAAGGTTATGGTGGGTGTTTCTGAAATCAACTAAGTGTAGGTAACATCTAGACCTCTTAATTTTGATGAATTTTATTCCAAAGGTATAGATGCACACTATATGGGACATTCTAGATTATAAAAAAAACTTCGATTTTGAAGGTACCATTTCTCACGCATAAGTGGTGGTAACGCTATAGTTGCGAAAATTTTCGCATATCATATAACATTCTTTTTTCACCTAAATAGGACAGCATAAAGTACCCACCCACCATTGCGAGAGTGGTTTTGGTAACATATGACACTCTGCATCTTATATCTATAGATCTCATACCTCAGACAGATGACAGATGCTATGCTTTCGTTCGTTGTTCTACCTTAAACCAAGCCTAGACCGTGCCGACGAGTTATCAAAAAGCACGAAACATCTGTCCAGGCTTGGCCGTATGTGGTCTGACGAACGAAAACAGATTGTTTAAAAAATAAAATAGTTGTAGATTGTTTCTAATTTTTTTCGGAACATTTTGGAGAAAGGTTGAAAAATTGTTCTGGGGAAGTCGGTACATTTCAAATTTTAGAAATACATTTTCCCTTTTCCAAGTTTTCAATCACTTTAGGACGTAGTCACAAATTGTTTGTGAGGCTTAAAACTTCTCGACCATTATTCTTCCTTCTCTTTTCTTGTCTTGTCTTTGTTTCCCCATAATACTAACAATCGCTGAACCATTTTTAACGATATTTGGGTTGTAACCTGCTAAGGGGTTATATTATATATTCTTGTGATATTTTGATACTAGCGCATTAGCGAAAAACAAAAAATGGCGACAAGTACGTTGATTCTATACTTCCCGTGCCTTCGAAACCACGTCTAGTACAATTTTACATGTAGTGCAATGCAATTATAAGACGTACGGTCAGAACCATTAGTTCACTATTAGGGCTTTTCAATAAAAAAATGCCTTAAATTGTAGCATTGAACGAGTCCGTACACGGTAGCCTCATTTCTTGGTAACACTAGTATAAGACTTTATATATATATATATCCCTCGGACCATAACTGGGATGACCTACTGAACATCAATCACCCCGCTTCAGAAGTAGTTCTTTTCGGTGATTTCAATGCCCATAATGAGCTTTGGTGACGAGCCCTACTTTTTTCCCCCGCGTCTCGTCGTCTCGTCACACGCCAGAAGTCTGCTGGATCTCTTTCCTACCACGCATCCTGTCCCTTTCAGCACTGCTGTCCTGTCCCTCTCTCCCCTGGGTAACTCAGAGACCACGGTGTTGTGGAGGTTGGGTTACGGTCAGAACCCGCTGTGGCAGCAGAAATTCGTACAGGCCGCAAAACTCAGAGATTTCTTCTCTATCTTTCCTTGGAGAGATGTCTGTTTCACTGACGCGGATGCGTCGGCTGTGTGTTCTTTGATAACCGAAGTTATCCACGTAGGAGTGGAGGAATACATCCCTCACACAGTGAAAGTGCCTAAACCAGGGTCCAACGGTTGGGTTATCAAATCGTGTGACACTGCTCGCCAGCAGAAGATCAAGGCACACAGAACCTTCTTACAAAATCCAACTGTAGAGAACAGACAAGCCGACGTCGAGTCCATAAACACATATAACGACGCGGTTCGCAATACCAAAAACCAGCACGATATAAAAGTTAGGCAAAGAGTAATGTCGCAGCGCAATGGCAGTCGGTCTTTCTGGACGCTGGCCAAGCAGATTGAAAAGAACTTCTCACGCAGTAGCCTCCCACCACTTACGTGTCAGGATGGAACGATTGTAAACGACTCAAAGGCCAACGCGGAAGAGCTAGCCAAGATCTTTGCTGCCAACTCCACCATGGACGTCCCCCCAACGCCCAAGTGCCGTCAATTCGAAGTGTTCCCTACAATATGCGGGAGGTAACATTCAGGCATAAGACCGTAAGACGAGTGCTCTTGTCGCTCGACATCAACAAAACTTCTGGTCCGAACTTCAGTTCTTTCGCGTCTCTTCCAGATATCTTATGGATCAGACACTTTCCCAGAAAACTGGAAATTCTCTCATGTCCAACCCATCCCAGAAAAAGGATATAGGACCGACCCTTACAACTACAGGCCTATAGCTCTTCTTTCTATTATAAGTAAAGTTAAGGGGAGGTGCATAAATCGCGAGCTTCTGGACTACCTCGAACGTCACAGCTTGATTAGCGACAGGCAGTATGGTTTCCGGCACCAACGATCCACAGGGGACCTCCTAGCTTACGTCGCGCAATTGTGGAGTAAACTGATCCAGTCTTATGGTGAGGCCCATATCGTTGCTCTTGACATCACAAAAGCGTTCGATCAGCTGTGGCACGCTGCACTCTTAAGCAAAATTCCATCTTATGGCCTCCTAAAAAAGCTTTGCAGATGAGTGACTTTATCTCTGGCCGCAAGATATCCGTCGTAATTGACGGGTTCTCCTCTTCATCCCACAACGTCAGCGCGGGTGTTGCTCAGGGATCGGTCTTGGCTCCGACACTGTTTCTCTTACATATGAACGACCTCGTTTCCTGCACGATCAATCCAATCCACAGCTTCGCTGATGACAGCACTCTGCATGCAGGAATTCAGAGTGACAAGCCGATCTCTGCCGCTGAGCTGGGAAAAAGAAGGCTAGCGACGACATCCTCTCTGACAAGAGACGTGGAGGCTATCACTGCTTGGGGACGCAACAATTTTGTACAGTTCAATGCTTCCAAAACTCAATACTATACTTTGACGAACAAAGAGCGTCCTAGCGCTCATCCGGTTTCGATGGATGGCCGAGTTCTGATCACCGAAGATCAGATCTGGCACGAACACATCTCGTCAATAGCTGCAGCTGCTGGGAAAAAGCTAGGGTATTTATTTAGGGCTAAGAAGTACTTTTCTCCGCATGACCTTCTCACTCTAGTATACAAGGACTAGATAAGGCCTAGCCTCGAGTATTGCTCACACGTTTGGGTTGCTGCCGCACAAACTACATTATCCATGCTCGAAGCTGTCCAGAGGAGGGCGGTCCGACTGATCGATGACTCGGTAGCTCTTTTCTACCGCTATACC